CCCCAAGAGCGTAGTATGTCAGGGTTCAGACCCAACTGGTGGTGGTGGAGAGTTCAACTTCAACGGATTCCTGTATGCTGCTGGATCAGCCAATCTAAATAGCAATGGTCTGTTCAGACTAACGAATTCTACGACACAAACAGCTGGTCAAGTTTTCTACAATTTCCCACTTCGGTTCAAAGACTCTGTAAATGGTACCGTCTACTCTTTCTCCACCACCTTTGTTTTCGCTATAGTCTCACCTAATGGAACTCCTAAAGGCCATGGACTGGCATTTGTCCTTTCTCCTACAAGAGGTTTGTCCAACGCTAATCCCACCCAATATCTAGGACTCTTCAACATAAGCACATTAGGAGATCCCAAAAGTCATATAGTAGCTGTTGAGCTCGACACCGTCCAAAGCGCTGAATTTGATGACATGAATGCTAACCATGTTGGTATTGACATAAATAGCTTAATTTCAGAAATAGCTGCTTCAGCAGGTTATTTCAAGGATGATGGTACATTTCGCGATCTCTTGCTTACCAGTGGAGATCCTATGCAAGTCTGGATTGAGTACGACAGCAAACAGAAGCAGCTTAATGTCACACTTCATCCTATTCGTGTCTCTAAGCCAAAGATTCCACTTCTTTCTCTCCGAAAAGACCTGGCTCCGTTTTTGCTTGAGTTTATGTATGTTGGCTTCTCCTCATCTACGGGTTCATTAACTGCATCTCACTATATACTAGGTTGGACGTTCAAGATGAATGAGACGGCTCCAGCTATAGACCTTTCTCGCCTTCCAAAGATTCCTCGTTTTGATCAGCCATCAAACCGGAGGATTTTGGCAATAACTTTGAGCGTATTAGGCGTCACGATACTTATTGTCTTGATTCTCGGCGTAAGGTTTTTCATGAAGAGGAAAAAGTTATTAGAAGTTCTTGAAGACTGGGAGGTGCAATTTGGTCCTCATAGGTTTGCTTACAAAGATCTACACATTGCTACAAAGGGTTTTAAAGAATCTGAGCTTCTTGGTAGTGGAGGGTTTGGGAAAGTCTATAAAGGTACATTACCAATATCCAACATAGAGATCGCGGTGAAGAGGGTTTCTCACGATTCAAGGCAGGGCATGCGAGAGTTTATTGCTGAGATCGCAACCATTGGGCGTCTCAGACATCCCAACTTAGTTCGGCTCCAGGGTTACTGCAGACACAAAGGTGAACTCTACTTGGTGTATGATTGTATGCCCAAAGGAAGCCTTGATAAGTTCCTTTACCACCAACAGACTGAGAGTCTTAATTGGTCACAAAGATTCAAGATCATCAAAGACGTAGCTTCTGGACTGTGCTATTTACACCAACAATGGGTGCAAGTGATTATCCACAGAGACATTAAACCAGCCAACATCCTTCTTGGTGGAAGCATGAATGCAAAACTTGGTGACTTTGGTCTCGCGAAGCTCTGCGATCATGGGATTGATCCTCAGATCTCTCATGTGGCAGGTACCTTCTTGTATTTTGCTTATATTAGTGTTAAAGACTTATCCTC